TTAGGCACAACCACGTATTCTTAACATGTACATTAGATAGAAAATGAGAGAATCCTCTTTTAATGGATGAGAATTAATTAGGAAAATCACCTTAATACCCCAATCATATTCAGGACCACCAGGGTTATGGCTGGCACTCATGATAAATCCACCATTTGCCTGTTGAAGTTTAAGAAAATGAGAAGAAAAGAGAAAGTTGAATGAAAATGTTATGCATGAGAAAAAGGAGTTTGTTTTGCTTGCCTCTCTCTTCCTTATCACAGCAGAAACGGCTGGTGTTGACAATATCCCTTCCCTGCATTAGAATAGAATATGTGTATTCAATTTAGGCTTTTGTTTGGATAAACAACTTAGCTAAGCTTAAGTATAAGTTACTTTTATAACAAAATGATCAAATAAAGTCAAACTGTTTCCGTAAAAGCCATAAGTTATTTTTATAAGCTATCATGAAAATAAGCTGAAAACAACTTATGAATACGCCGTAAGTTGTTTCTACAAGTCCTCCCAAACAGTCTTACAACTTACAAGTAGTTATGTCAACAGATAAACTTAAATAAGTAATTCCAAACAGATTGCATTGAACAATAGCATATGCACTAATCAAAGAAAGATGTTTTATCCAATCAATAACAATAAACCAAACTCAATTGAAACTTACTTCCCAACCAGAATTTTTCCAACACCATTTCCAGCAGCAATTTTGATTATTATCTGCAATTCACACAAAAAAAACAAGCCGAACAAATTAGAAATAAAGCAGCTTTTTAACACAAGATTCAAATTCGAATGTTTCGGTGACACATTCAAAAAAGTTAACCTGCGCAGCTTCTCTATTGAAGTATCGACCATCGCCTCCTAACACCAACAATCCATTCTTGTAATCCTCCGGCGGCAATGAATTAAACAATGCCTACAAATCCACATAACTAATTAACTTTCTTGCAAAGCAAAAACACATAAATCATATAATCATACACATTGCATGGGACTCTCCAAACCTGAATCCAATTTGCAAGGTAATTTTCTTGCTTAAACACTTTCACCTGCAAAACAATTCAACATACATAAACAAACACAGTTTCAATTTGCATGCACAAATATATCATCATCAAACATAATGTGAGCATTTTGATCAAACATAATGAATCAAAGGGTTGAATATGAATAGAACAAATACCAACCTTTTTTCTTAGACCACTGGTACCAGTTTTTTGTCCTTCAATAGGTTTAGTAGGAATAGAGTTAATCTTCACAACAACAATAAAAAGATCATTAAAAAGGGTTAAATTAAATTTAAAAAAACAAAAAGATAAAATTAGAAATAACTGTGTGAAGGGAATAAAAAACAACCTTAATGCCGTTAGGTTCTGCAATGGTTGAGGGAGGAGAAGAGGAAGATGAAGTGGCTCTAATAGCTGAATTACAGCGAACCCTGAAAGGAAAGTTTTGAACTTTGAAAGGAGATTGAAAATTGGATGAATGATGATGAATTGAAAGTGGGACATTTGCGTTTTTAGGTTTAAAAGCAGAGACGATGAAGTTGTCAAGTCTGTAACAGAAAGCCATGATCGAGTCTGTAAGACTGTAACAGTGACAACTTTTTCTCCGAAGAGTCAAGAGAGAGTGTTTTTTGTTTAACTATGTGTGTTTGTTCTGTCTCTCTGATAGGAGTTAAGAGGTGTGGGATTTTATATGTGCCACATGTAACTGAAGACACTTATCTTGAGATTCAGCGTAATCACGTGATTTTGATTTTATTTGAAGTGTTTTTTTTCTCGATCTTTTATAGGTTTGCATGATTTTTTCCGGAAAATAATGAAGTTACAGCTAGCTGTGTTTTATTTTTTGGAGGAAATAAGGAACGGTTGAGAATTAAGATTCTTTTTTATTCTCCTAAACCTTTTAAAACCGAGGACGAGGTGACATCATGTTAAAATATGGTACAAAATTAGTTTTGGACGGTTTATATTGATTTGGGGCCAACTTAATTTTTTTTGTTTAACATAACATTGATGAGTACAATTTTTATTTTTACGTGTCATTGATAAGTTAAACCGCAAACAATAGAATATAGTGGATTTGAAATCTTTTTCTTTTTTATATAACGGTTCAGAATTTATAATAAATAATTAAATTAAAAAAATTATTTAATAGAAGAGGAAATAGATAACTAATTTGTCTTTGTTATTTTTAGAATTTCTTCAACATTTTTACGTGAAAGTTTTTTAGAATTTATTCAACATTTTTACGTAAAAGTTTTTTAAAATTTCTTCTCCATCTAAAAATGTCTTAGTATTAAATATTTTTATAATTTCATAAATATTAAATATTTTCATTAATTCAAATTAAAAGTGTCTATTATTCAAATCAAATTAAATAAAATGTTAGAATGAGATAGCATCATAATCTCATTTCCTTAAATAAGAATTACTATTGAAAATAACTTAACAAATTCATCTATTCTTAATCATTTCTTCCTAAATGAAAAATCATTAACAAAATAGTAAAAAAATCATTAACAAAATAGAATAGATTGTAAAAATAATACAACAAAATATCTGCAATTTAACAATTACTAATATCTGCAATTTAAAAATAACATAACAGAACTCTCATTTGCTAAATTCAAAAGTAAAAATAAAGTCACAAACACATAATGTATTTAGTGCACAAAGTCACAAATTACAAATCAGATCTTAAAATCTGCATCATAACAAAAACAACTAGAATTATTTGCATAAGGAAGAGCATGAAAAACAAAAATAGTCACTACATCCACATAACCGCAAATGAAAACATTAGCAGGTCATTCTTCAAAATATGTTTTCTTCACTTCTTTACAAATTGTTAAATGTTGTAACCTCTCCATGAAGATTTTCCTATAATTAAAAAGACATATGTTAATAATTTAGTAAAACTATTTGCACCGAATTGACAGTAGAGTTTATGTAATTGTTAAAATTTACCATCAATAATTTAATAAAACTATTAGCACCGAATTGGGTTAAAGTGTTATTGTTTCCCTGCAAAAAAAACATAAAATCATTTAATTACTAAATACTTTTTGGTATAACATACTCAAATTGATATTGGCTTACCATGGCTGGTACGTTGTATGAATTATTGAGCCAAATAGATGCACTTGTATTGGGAACCTCATATTGAACATGTGTTTGTGAATCACATGTGTCATAGTCTTTTCCTGTTATGCTAAGTTGTGAATCACGCCCTACACAACATAAAATAATATAAAAATATGAATTTTTTTAGTTTACTAAAGACAACAATTGACTTAACTAATTCAACAATACCTGAATTTGTGAAGCTTTAGAACCAACATTTTTCTTTCTTTTGGAAGGTTGATTCTCTACCCAACCTTTTGGACGTTTTGAACTCTTTCTGCCTTCTCTTTTTTTTAATCCTTTTGCTTGTGGTAAATCGTCAGGGGTACTAGTAGACTCCTTAACTCTACCAATAAACTCATTCACCTGAGAAATATCTACCGGATTCTTTTGAAACTCTGACATGCGCCTATCCAATTCATCAGTCATTTTGCAAAGAAATGTGAATGCTTCTGGACTTCTACATGCTTCAGTGGCTATCCTAATAAGACGAGGACAAATCTTCTTGTACCGTTGGGTTGGGGATATATTAACATCTTCTTCCACATAGTTAACATCAACATTACGTGAAGTCTCACTTCTAGCTAACTTTGTCCACCTTTTTAAAATATAATGTTCTGGAACTGATTTAACATCCATATGAATAAAAACTCTCAAACAATGACAACAAAGTATGCCAAAACTCTCAAACTTACGACAAGAGCAACAAATTGAATTCTTGTCCAAATCAAATGACACTCGCCACTCGCCCAAATTATTCTCCATCGAAATAACACAATCAATTAAAGGTGGTTGCATATCAATGCTTTTCATACAACATGTTTCAAACAACTCATACTCGTGCTGGAATTGATCAAAAATACTAGGAGTATAAAGCTCAGACACTTGCTGTAAGATTTTTGAATATGAGTTCCTTAATCTTGGAATATTTTGTCGCGCTTCATATTCACACTTTAATTCATTATACCGCTTTTCTTCTACAACATCCTCAAAGCGCTTAAAAAATTTGATTATATCCAAGTTCACATTCATAAACCCTTTAATATCTGCATTCACGCTTTCACTAAGTTGAGTGCTTCTCATTCCTAATGTAAAAACTTTCTTCATGTAACATGATGCCCACTTCTCCTTTATAGTGTACACTCTTTGCAACCAAGTATTTTCTTTAACATCATAGGTTACTAGAATATTTCTCCAGCCTTCTTCAAATTGGTCTTCATTTTCATATGCATACATGCACTTCTTAAACTCACTAAGAAAATGAGATTCACCTTTCATCAAATTTCCTAAGTGTTTGATGCAATTTTGCATCAAGTGCCATGTACATAAGCCATGATAAGCTCCAGGCATAATCTCAACCAATGCTCTTTCCATTGCATGATCTTGATCAGTAAAAATTGTTTGTGGCATTTTCTGCTTATAAGCCTCTAAAAAGGCCTCAAAGAGCCATTTGTATGACTCAACTGTTTCATCATATAATAAAGAAGCCCCAAAAATAACAGTTTTTCCATGATGGTTAAACCCTGAGAATAGTGCTAGTGGTCTATGTGAACTATTTGTGCAATAGGTTGAATCAAGAGAAATCACATCACCAAAATAGTCGTAATCAATTAGCATCATTGCATCTGCCCAAAATACATTGGTGATTTGTTCTTCAGCGTCCATTTGATATGCATGATAGAAACTTGGATTTTCCATAGACTTTCTTTGGAAGTATTCCAATAGATAACCAGCTTCTCCATGTACCATACTCCTTTCCCTTTTTTTTCCGAAGATAATTCTTTTGGTCAAGACGAATAAATCCCAAATTAGTTCTACCTCCCACTTTTTTACTCATCAAATCAAATGACTTTCTTTGTTGTAATCCCGCGTCATCGGCTAGATCAATTTGGTGACATTGAATTTGAGAGACTTTTCTTTGAGATGGCAACATTGAGTTGTTTCTTGCAAATGTAAATTGTGATTATGTTCCTCCACAAAATCAACAACCATAAATTTACCATCCATATTCTTAAGTCCTAATCTTGCTTGACAATTTGTTCTGGTCTCTGGCCTTGGATTGATTGTTTTATAATCTCGTTTATCTGGTTTCTGTAAACCTTCTTTACAACAAACAAACCTGTAAGAAGTAATTATACCATTTTTGTGCTTGTTATAATATTGTTTCCTCACCCCAAATCCAACTTTTCCACCATAATCAACCCAAAACTTCCAAGCATCTTCAATGCTATCAAAAATCATTTTTAACTTTGGTTTCCAATCTTCTTGCATTTTCTACACACAAAACTATGCATTATATGTTATACTAAATTATTAATCTATGAACATATAATTTTACTGTGAAAATATCTTATAAAAATATGATATTTATAACACGTTCATGACAATATTACTGTAGAAATAAAATATATAGAAACTAACCTTCTTCAGCCAATAACAATGGCCACAATTTTTTCTTGATACAGAATGGTGAAGTCACTTGATAAGTTTCCTAAAAATTTCTCAGTAAACTTTTATTTTGTTGGAATGGTAGTGATGAATGTGGAGATTTTAAAAGTTAAAATTAAAAAGATTGGAATTGGTAAAAGAAAGAAGTTGTAATGTATTAGATTCACATAAATGTATTTCTCTCTCCTATGAAATGTATTTTTTATTTAATTATTTCTTGTAACAAAAAATAATTCACGTAAAAATGTTGAAGAAATTCCAAAAATAACAAAGACAAATTACTTATCCATTTCTCTCTCATATTAAATGATTTTTTTTATTTAATTATTCATTATAAATTCTGAATCGTTAGATTAGAAACATGAGAGATGGCAGGATATATAAAAAAGGAGAGGATCCAAATTCCAATATAGTATATTTAGCATTCAACAAGAACCAAAGATTCAATTTAAATCGGCTAAAATTGGAAAAATAATAGAGTTAGATAGGTTGAAAGAGTTCAACAAATTTAACTGAAGTTAATAGCAGATTAAACTAGGTTTAAATGGGCGGGTTGGATAACAAAGTCTAGGCTGCAGGTATTCTGACCCGTATGAATTCGCACTATAGCAAAATGGTGCCATTTCATTTTACGCGGGTAATACTTCATGCCTCAACACACTTCACACATGCATCACTATTCTTTTCAGGTCACACTCTTTCTTTCTCAATTGAGAATTGAAACCATAGCACCTCCACATTTCTCTTTTTCTCTCATCACTCACCACCAAGCACCATTGTTACTCACCTTCACCGCCACCATTACTCCACCACGATGAACACCTAGTCCACCATTATTGTTCTACTTTCGTTTATCAGGTAGGTTGTTTTGTTCTACTTTCGTCTGCCATTATTCTTCTCTCAATAATGTGAAGTCCCAATGGAAATTAAGCTTTAAGGTACCAATGAAAATTGGACTTTGAAGTGCTAATGAAAATTGGGCTTTGAGGTGCCAAGCGAGGTTATGTTTTGAGGTGCCAATGAAAATTAGGCTTTGAAGTGCTAGTGTCGATAGGCATTGAAGCGTTGAACAAGGCTGGACTTTGAGATGCCAATAAAAATTGGACTTTAGGTGCCAATGCCGCTGGACATTGAAGCATCGAACAAGGTTGGACTTTGAAAATGAGGGTGAACGCTACACGTGACTCGTGTTATGCATGATTTTTGAACGAGATATATTTTTACGCATGAAGTGTGATGAACGAGATATATTTTTATGCATGAAGTGTGATGGTTGATGCATGGGGTATGATGCACGAAGTGTGATGGTTGATCGGTGTATGCAATGTATTGACTTTGGGGTGTGCCAATGGAGATTAGATTTTTGGTAGGGTGTCAACCAAGGTTTAGCTTTGAGTGGTGCCAAGTGAGGTTGGGTTTTTGGAGGTGCCAAGTGAGGTTGGGCTTTAAAGGGTTGCCAAGCGACGTTGGGCTTTGAGAGGTATGCCATGCGAGGCTGGGATTTGAGGGGTTTCCAAGTGAGGTTGGGCTTTGAGAGGTGCCAAGTGAGGTTGGGCTTTAAAAGGTGTTCCAAGCGAGGTTGGGTTTTAAGGGGGTGCCAAGATAAGTTGGGCTTGGAGAGGTATGTCAAGCCAGTTTGGGCTTTGATATGTACCAAACAAGGTTGGGCTTTTGGAGGTGTGACGCGAGGTTGGGCTTTGAGTGATGCTAAGTGAGGTTAGGCTTTTGTAAGGCATGTCAAGCGAGGTTGGGCTTTGAGGTAATGCCAAACATGATTGGGCTTTTTATTAGGATTCCAAGATACATAAGATGAGATGTGTGGCATATTGAAATTTTTTATTCCCCGACACTCAGGAACTAGACAACTTCTAGGTTGTAAAAACATACGTAAATGTTTCCTGATGCCTCAAGTTTGCTATTTTACTTGCATGCTTCTTAACTACTTTCTGTTGAAGAACAATTGATCTTGTGCAAATCAATTCGTGACGACTTGTAAAATATTTTATGTCTTGTGAACTGGGTGTGTCACTTGAAGCTGGCGGTATTCCTTATACATTTCAAAATCAAGGAAATTTATGCTTTTCAGCGCTTTTTGTTATTCCAATGTTTTAATACTTTGTTTATAAAAAATAATCAACATTTTGCAAACAAGAAAAAAAATTAATAAGGAAGGCTCAACAAAGAGATTTTATTTGATGAAAAGTATGACTCGTACATGGGATGACAGTACATGAAGATGTAAATCCCTAGAAAAGGAAACTACTGAGACAGAAAGGTTAGACATAAAAATGGAAATGCGGACTTATTTGGGTTTTCCCTATAGTACAACACATGTTATCTTCCTTGTGCCATCAAAGTCACAATACTTTGCTTTTGAGGAGGGTGACTGGATTGGTCCTTCCCATCTTCAATTTTCATTGTGGGGCAAGCTTGCGTGCTACAATATTAACTTTTTCCTGAACCGCTCTTTTGAGTTTTTGGTCCATCGAGATGCCCTTTTTAGCCTAAGTCGCCCTTCTGGGTTTTCAACTTAGCAGATTTTTCTTTTAATTTCTTTTATATCCCTAATTTTTTCCTCGACCACTATTTCAAGTTTTCAGTCCACCGGGATGCCTTTTTTTTTCCTAAGTCGCCCTTTCAGATTTTCAACTTAGCGGATTTTATTCTTCCTTTTTTAGGTATAATATTTTTTTTACTACATATTTTTTTTCCTCCATCCATTATTGTATTAATCGAAGCTCCACTAGAGAAAGTCGTTTTCACAACATATGGACCTTCATAATTTTGAGTCCACTTCCCACGTGAATCTTTTTGAATGGGTAACATCTTCTTCTGCATTAGGTCATCTTCCATGAATTCTCGAGGACAGACTTTTTTATCAAATGCTTTCTTGAGCCTTTTTTGATACAATTGACCATGGCGTAAGGCTTTCATTCTTTTATCTTCTATAAGGTTTATTTGGTCAAACCTTGCTTTGACTCATTCTTCCTCTTCCAACTTGGCCTCCATCAGGACTCTCATTGAAGGGATTTCGACTTCAATAGGAAGTACTGATTTCATACCATATACTAGTTAGAAAGAGGTTGCCCTTGTTGAGGTTTGAATTGTTATTCTATAACCATGTAATACAAAAAGAATCATTATGTGCCACTCCTTGTAGGTTTCCACCATCTTCTGTAGGATCTTCTTGATATTCTTATTTCCTGCTTTTACAGCCCCATTCATCATTGGCCGATATGGTGTCAAGTTTATGGTGTTAAATCTTGAAGTTCTCTCATAACTCCTTCATCATTTTGTTCTTTAAATTTGTGGCATTATGGGTGATGAGTTTTTTGGGAAGCCCATAACGACATATTATCTCCCTTTTAATAAATCAGGAAACCACTTGTTTTATCACATTAATGTAAGAAGCAGTTTCCACCCATTTGGTGAAATAATCAATGGCAACCAAGATGAACTGATGTTCATTTGAATGTTTTAGTTTAATGAACCCGATCATGCCTATTCCCCACATAGAGAAAGGACATGGTGTTGTCAAGACATTTAAAGGGGTTGGTGGTATATGCAATTTATCAACATAAATTTGACATTTGTGGCACATTTGATATAGCTGAAACAATCAGATTCATAGTCAACTAGTAATAACCATCTCTTAGAATTTCCTTTGTCATTGCATGCCCATTGGAATGAGTTCCAAAAGATCCTTCGTGGATTTATTTGATGAGTAGTCTGCTTCATGTTTGTCCACACATTTGAGAAGAACCATGTCATAATTTCTTTTGTATAACACATCTCCATTTAAGGAGAACTTTGATGCCAACCTTCTCAATGTTTTCCTGTCCCCATTTGAAGCACTTATTGGGTACTCTTATTTTTTGAGGTAGCATTTGATGTCATGAAACCAAGGTTTCCCATCTGGTTCTCCTTCGACTGATAGACAAAGTGTAGGTTTATCCCTTCTTAGAATTCTTATAAGCAGAACGTTTCAGGCCCAACTTACTTTGAACATTGATGATAAAGTGGCCAACGCATCAGCCAACTAGGTATCCTCTCGAGGAATATGATGGAAGGTAAGATTATCGAAATGGCCCATCAAATTAATGATGTGAGCACAATATGGAATCAACTTAGGATGATGGGTTTCCCAATATCCTTTTACTTGATGGATAACCAATGTTGAGTCTCCATATACTTCCCGAATTTTAATTCTTAGGCCAATGGCTCCTTTGATGCCTATAATGCATGTCTCATACTCTGCTATGTTATTTTTACAGTCAAAATGCAACCTTGTTGTAAATGGAACATAAAGTTTCTTTGAAGAGATCAGACCAACTCCAACTCCATGACCTAAGGCATTTGAGGCACCATCAAATACGAGAGTCCATTGATCTCTTTCCTCGAGCCCTTCCTACTCATCTGGAATCATTATCTTCTAATCTGAAAACTCAAATGACATTGTTTGGTAGTCTTCCACTAGTTAGTTAGTGAGATACGTTGCGAGTACGCTCCCTTTGATGGCTTTCTGTGTAACTTATTGAATTCATATTCAGACAATAACATTTGCCAACAAGCAATCCTCCTAGTTAGGGCATACTTTTCAAAAATGTATTTGATTCAATCTATATTTGATATCAACCATGTTGTATGACATATCATGTACTTTCTTAAGCAATGAGCAACCCATTCTAATGCACACATGTTTTCTCTAGTAGTGAATATTTGGTTTCACAACTAGTGAGCTTCTTGCTCAAGTAATAGATCACATACTCTTTTCTGCCTGCCTCGTCGTGTTGCCCTAATACACATCCCATTTATACATCAAG